GTGAGCTCCTGCCACAAGGGAGTCAAGCAGCTGGGCTCAACTCAGCATGCTGGATGCCGAGAGATCTGTGAAGTCACTGAAAATGAAGAGGGGGCTTGGGATTTAGCTCAGTGGTTTCGTGCCTGCTGTGCAAACGCAAGGACCCAAGTTTGATCCCTGGTACCAAAAAAAAAAAGAAAAGAAAAGAAAATGAAGAAGTATTTTTCTTGGCTTCTTTTAAAGGGTCATGAACGAAAGAAGGGGTTCCTTTCTAAGTGGGAGGATGTAAGGGGTACCTCTTCATTTCCAAAGGCCTCTTCATCTCCAAAGATTCCAGGGTGTCCAAATTCTCTAAGATTTTATAAAGGCAGGAGTCAGTCTGAGACTCAGTGGTTCTACGTGTCAGTCACTGACATAGCTAAACTCCTATCCTACCTGCAAGACCCTGGCCAATTTGGTCCCCTTCCCACTCTCCAAATCTACCTCTTACTTCACTTGACTATAGTCTCTCACTACCCCCAATACACACTGAACTCATTCCTGCCTCAGGGCCTTTGTACCTGCTATTCCTGATCTGGCACTCCTATCCCACCCCCACTTCATCTTCTCATGGCTGGCTCCTCTCATTCAAGTTTGGTGCAAATACCCCTTCTAAGAAGCCTTTGATGACTCCCTCCTCCTGCAGCCACCCAGCACAAGGTGACAGGCAGGCTGGAGTGACTGCTTAGGTTCAAATGGAAGCTTTGCAAGAGACCCTGAGCTGGTCCTTAGGATTTCTGCCTCAGTTTCCTCAACTCTTACCCATGAATAACAATAGTACTAGCTTGGCAATGATGAAATTCATCCATGTGTGCAGAATGCTTTGGAACTCAGCCTGGCTCATGGTAAACCCTTGGGAAGGACCACTTCTTGGAAGCACATAGCCCTGCTTCAATACTCAGGCACCCACTCGAGTTGGGCTTCTTGCCTATTTACTGAGGGTGTATCTCCCAAATCCCCAGTTTACCAATAAGGAAACTGAGGCTCAGAAAGGCAAAGTACTTGCCAAAGCAAGATCCCTGGGGAGAGGGACTGGCCTGTCTCACTGACCACTGGCTCAGCAGTACTGAGAACTAAGCCTACATAGAGTAGGTGACACTCAACCACAGTCCCAGCCCCTCTCAGAGTGGCTGCTAGGCTGGGTAGGTCAGGGGGCTTGGGACCAGCATCCATGCCCCAGTCCCCAGTGGGACCATCTCATTCTGGCTGGGCTGGGGCAATAAGGCAGGTGCTGCCTTGGCATTTGCCTGGCAGGTTCCTGCCCAGAGGTAGTGGCAGGTGTGCACTCGAGAGGCAGCTGCTAGCTCCCTGGTCTGTGCTCTGCCAGCTGCCCGCTGGGGGCCTGCCCACCAGATGCATAATAGATGAGGAGACCCAGCGGGCCCTGCCTGCCTGGCATTTCAGAGCCTCTAATAAGGCCAGCCTCGTGCTTCCTGCAGCAGCACACAGGCCCCCAGGGCCTCTGCATGACCAGGAGAGCAGTCACCTGAGGACAGGGCCACCCACCTTAAGCCCACCACTCAGCTCAGCAGCTTCAGGACAGCAGCTTCAAAGGCTTGAGTGCAGGCTGCCCTTTGACAGTCTTGGTTTACCACTCACTAGCAGCATGGCCAGGGGCAGCCACCTCCCTGCTCTGGGCCTCAGTTTCCTCACCTGTAAAATGGGAAGGGGTAGAGATAGCCTCATTCTATAAGGCTGGTGTCAAGATGGAGAAACAGTTGCACTGACGCACCTGGCCCGGGGCCCAGGACATAGGACGTGTCCCATATAGGGGAGCAATTGGTACTAATACTGTCACAAGGGGATATCTCAGTGATCCCATGGGCAGGGCAGTGACTATGCCATTTTGGGGCATTCCAGGCCATATCACTTTCCTCTTCCCTTACCCATAACCAAAGCCTCCCCCATCTCTGGCCAAAGCACAATCATTGCAAGAGACAGATTCAAATCCAGCCCTTGACAGCTGGGTGATTTGGGGCCAGACCCTTCACTGGTTTTAGTTTTGATTTTGGCCTCCCAAGTGGGCACACTGGGCCAACCTGGAGGGCTGAGGTCATGGCCAACACCCTGCCCTTGCCAGGTCCTGTCTCCTCCTCCCAGGCACCCAGTTGGAAGGCCAAAGTCCGCTCTCCTCTTCCAAGAGGTGCTCTCAGGGATCCCTGCTCTGGGAAAGCCCAGCTTGCCACTCCCTCACCTCCCACCTCCGCCTCCAGATCCAGCCTAAAAGCCTGGCCCTCTCTCTGGACTTCGGGTCCTTAGGGCTACAGAACCAGAATTCCCCCCCAGCCCCCACCTCCCACAGGGCCGCCCTTCTATCCCCTGTGCTCTCCTGCTCTGAGCTCCCCTCTCCTGCAGTGCCTAGCTGAGGGGCGGGAGTGGGGGAACGCAGCCTCCATCACCTCTGGCCTCTCCCAAGTCTCACTGCTCCTGTGATCCAAGCCCCAACCTCTTAAGCTTTGTTTCAAAAGGCAGTGAGTGGGGTGACTCCCACCTCCTCCAGGAAGCTGTCCCAGACTACTGACAAAGTTTCGCTGCTCTGCTTTCTGAACACGTTCGATTCAATTCCACAGCCATGAAGCATTTACTGGGCTCTGCAAGAGCCATTTATCTGAGGGCAGAGAAAGGGAAGAGCATAGCCTGGCAGAGGGGACCTGTGCTGAGCATCATGAGGTCAAGCCCCAAGCAACCAGGCAGCCGTGCTTCTCGGAGCTGCCTCATGTCTTGAGGTGATACGAACACACCCAGTTCCTCTTAGTCACCTCCCTGAAGTCGCCAATGCACAAACAGTGGAGAGCATCAAGGGGGCTCAGAGAGGGGGAATGACCTGCCCAGGGTCATACAGCCAAAAAGTGACAGAGGCTGATTCAGTCCACACGGGTCAGACTCCCCAGGAGTGATCTCCGACACCAGCCTGGTGAGGGCATTCAAAGGTCTGGAACAGGGGATGTGGGCTCAGGGAGTAAGGGGCCAGGGAGTGGCAGGGCTTGCAGAAGTGGAGGGGTGTCCAGGGAGGAGGGCACATGAGTAAAAGCACAGTGGACCTACTGGCTGGGACCCCTCGGCCATTCAGGCACAGAGGAGTGAGCCCCCACTGGACAGGGAGGGGACGACAGGCCTTGAGTGCCAGGGAGACTGCCATTACTGGTCAAAATGGCCACCATTTACTGAGCAATAAATAGACCCAGGGCACAGGCTTAGGGCAGAACAATTGGCTTCTGGGTCAGAAAGGGAAGACCCTGGGCTAGCACTTTGGACAGCAACTGGGGAGGTGGGCTCAGAGCCAGGCATTGTGGGTAACAGGAGTGTCTAGAGGACTCCAGATTTTGATTTCATAGATGTCCACCCAGACCCAGAGAGGGAAAGGGACTTACCCAAAATCGCACAGCTGCTCAGTTACTATCAGCCCTTATCTCTAACTCTTGGTCCAGGGCTCCCAATTTTAGTATATAAGCTGCCCAAAGGAGTACTAGGGCTCTCCAGAGTGGACCTCTGGGTCACCTCTCCAACTCCAAGTCTTCCCTCAAGTGCAGCCCTTGTTCAGACCCTTCCTGTGGCCTGGAGGCCTTGGGATAAAATGAGGTGAGTCAGGCTGTGCACAGAGTCTAGAACATCAAGGTTCAAATCTCAGCCCTGTGCTGTGTGACCTTGGACGAGTGACTTTCCCAGTCTGTGCCTCATTACTGTGACCTGTAGTTGGAGAGAAGAGTCCTTGACTCAGAGGTGTGGTCGAGGCTATGTGTGAGGGCACATGCCAAACACCCAACAGTACCCAGCAGGTGGTGACCACTGTGGTTGTTGGTGATATTACTGAGGTCCTTATGGGAAAGGGCAGCGTCTTCCTCCTCTGTCTCTATCTTCCCCACTCTACCCCTGCTCCAGGCACAGTACACAGTCTTGTGTGCAAGAGAGACTCAGACTGACTGGGTGAGGTGGCTGCAGATACAGCTCAGAATGGGAGAGCAGCCTGCCCCAGGCTGCACAGGGAACATCAAAGGGAAATGAAAAGGCTCAGCCTGGACACCCCATGTGCTCCTGCCCTGGGTGTGGCTTCTCAGGGGCTCTGGTGGGGCTCTGGTGGCAGACAGGAGTCTTCCAGCAGCTGGGGGCACCACAGGGCCCACTGCCCCCAGGAAGCCCTCAGCAGGGCAGGAAGCAGGAGCTGGAGCCGCTGGGGGTCTCTCCAGCTGCAGGGGAAGTGGCAGCAGGAGCTGCCGGCCAGGCCTGCGTGACGCTTGTGCCAGGGAAGCAGGGCTGAGGTCGCCCCTGGCTCACTGCCTCTCGGTGTTGGGAAGCTGCAGACACTGATGCTCCCTCTCCCTCCTCCAAAGGGAGGGTGGATCAGACACAGGCTATGGAGGGGGTCTGAGGGTGGCCTATAGGTTTGGGGGTCAGGGAAAAGGCTACCCTGAGGTGGGAAGGACGTGGAAAGAGAAAAAGGAAGGAAACTTTTAAAGGCCAGTTTGTTTCCTTGATTTTTCAAACTAATACTCCATTAAACAAGCTTTTTTTTTTTTTTTTTTGTACTAGAGATTGGACCTAGGGCGTGCTGCACTACATCCCCATCCCTTTTTATTTTTTATTTTGAGATAACAACTCAGCTAAATTGCCTAGGCTGGCCTTAAACTTGCAATCCTCCTGCCTCAGCCTCTTGAGTAGGAGAAGCTGGGATTACAGCCTTGCACCACCACACCCAGCATTAAAGGGCATCTCAATCCACATTTCACAGATGAGAAAGCTGAGAACTGGAGATGTTAACAAATCACTGAGGGCCACACAGGCAGTGGTGGGGCTAAGTTCTGAACGTGATTTGTTTGGCTCCACGGCTGAGCTCCAGAAAGAACTGTGTGGGGGCTGAGGACAAGGTCCCCCACACCTGTACTCAGAGATGGGGATGGAAGGTTGGTGGATCTAGCTTGGCATTATAGGAGGTGGGAGCTGGTTGAAGGTGTCCCCAGACCCTCCTGAGCATCCCCAGTACTCACCACAGGCTCCGTCGAGGGGAGGAGGACCTGTCCACCCTGAAACAGAGCAAGGGGCAGTGGTAAGGGGATGCCCTCTCACCATCCTGGCCCTGACCTACCCTGCCCCTCAGAGGCCAAGCAGGTTCTGCAGTCACAGCTCCCTTGGCCACAGGGCCTTGTGTTGGGTGAGGGACAGGGGAAGATGTAGGGTCACAGAGTGAAGGTTAGGGGCCATGGGGGGTTAGTAGGGTAGGTCTGGGACAGGTGGAGCATGGCACTGTGACTCCCACAGACTGGGGTCAGTGGACTGGCCCAGGTGTGCTGGGTGTCTCCAGCTCGAGGCAGGCAGGTCACACTCGCTCCCACGCTCACAGCCACCCCAGTCCCAGCACTGGAGCTCACTCACAGGCGCCAGGGGGACAAATGCCTGGAAACTGGGAGACTCACAAGGAGCTCCCTGGCTACCCGACCCCAACACACAGGTCTCTGCCCCCAAGACCCTGGGGGTGCCCGACTGCGTTGCCACATACCTAAGCCCCCACCCCCAGGAGAGTGTGGACAGTGCCCCCCCCAGAGTCTCCCCCCCACTGCCCAAGGGCACCTTGAGGTTGGGTGGACTGGGGGACGCCACCCTCCTGCCCAGCAGGGGGCCAAGAGGTTGGGTGGCTGTTGGGACAACAAATAACCCTTGCCTTCTGCCCCTAGGCAAGAAGGGAATGAGGGAGCCAAACCCTGGGCCAGCTGGAGGGTGCCCCTGGGAGTAGGGCTGGGCGTCCCACGTCAGCTGAGGAGAAAGGTTAGCTCTGCAGGCAGGAAAGGGGCCAGAGAGGCCAGGCTCACCCAAGGGCACACAATAGACCTGGACCCCACTCTGGCTGCCCCTCGGTGTCAGCTGACAAGAAAGTGGGGCCTGGGCCAGGCTCCCCTCTCCACCTGATAGCCAAGTCCCCAGACAGGGAGGAAGCCCTTTTGTGTCCCACCCACTCGTCCCTCTCTGGGGTCCTGAGAGGCTGAGTGCCCTGTGTGTGGAGAGGCTCCTTGGATACAAGGCCCACAGCCCAGAGAGCACTGACTGCACCCCAGGGACACCCAGGTCCAAGACCCAAAGGCCCCACTCCCCAGCGCTGTCCCCTCTGCCCTCCGGGAGTCAGGGCCTGGCCAAAGTCACAAAGCCCTTGGTAGCCAGGGGGCCCCTGGACCCAGGCTGTGTGTCCCATCATCTTTCCAATTTGCCAAACCTCTCCTAGGGCAAGAATCCCCCATCCCACCTCTGCACCCCCTCAGCTGTTAGGAGGGACAGTGACACTAGGATGGGCCAGTTGCCACTCTGATTTCTCACTCGTCATGCCTCAGGGCCCAAGCAGCAAGCAGCTCACGCAGGAGGGGCTCCTGAGAGGATGTGGCCTGAGGTCAGGCGGCCTGGGTGCCCAGGGTGCAAGAGGGCACCCACCAGCCCCAGAGGCCAAGCAGGGCACCGGCAGCGCCTCACCTGACTGCTTCCGGGGTCCCACACACCCATCCATGCACTCACACGCACGTGCACACATACACGTACACACAAGCCGGGCTCCACAGGTCACGTGCATCGGCGGTCCTGCTTCTAGTCACGCGCCCACTAATCCCACCCTACACTGGATCCCCGCACGTGCACAGGGACACCCAAGCAGGACACACGGGACACGCGCAAACACACCCAGACCCGGCAACACACTCCCGGGTCCGACACTCCGCGCGAAGGCACACCCGGGAACCGCTAGCTCCAGGAGGACAGCGCACCTACCCGCCGTAGGCGCCGAAGGTGAAGCTGCGCCTCCGGCCGCTCATGGTGCCGCCGCCGCCGCCGGCCTGCCGGTCCGGCCCGCCCCGGGTCACCTCGGCAACGCGCCCCGCCCGCCGGCCGGGAAGTGGGCGCCCGCGGCCGCGCTCCAGCTGCCCCCAGCGCTGAAAGGGCCGCTTGTTCGCGCCGCCCTCGCCTGGACGGCAGGCGGGGCTAGCGGGGTCAACACCCTCTGTGCCCCAGGGAGCCACAGCCTCCTGAGATCCGAGCGGTCACCCAGAGGCAGGGAGCAGCGCGGGCCGGGTCATAGCGGTCTGCACCGTGCGCGAGACCCCGAAGTTCTCACCTGCGAAATGAGACTGCGCCTGCGACCTCCTCCAGCCCTGAAGATGAGGGGCAGAGTTAGGGCAGACGGGGACTGGCACACAGCAAACGCCCATTAAGGGCCAGCTCCAGGGCCCCATGCAGGGGCAACACGCTCTGCTCTTCAGCCCAGCGAATGCTCAAAGGGAAGAGAGAGGCTCCCTGGCCGCCTGTGCCAGCTCTCACCCCCATTCCCCTTCCCGGAAACGCCCCTCCCCTACTTCTCTGGTGAGAAGGCTGAGCAAAGGGGAAGGGTGCCGAAGTCCCAGCCACCGCTGCCCCCTGGACTGGGTATTGAACCCAGGGCCTCTGCACCGAGCTACATCCTCAGCCCTCTTTTATTTTTTGAGACAGTCTAAGTTGCTAAGTTGCCCAGGGTGGACTAGAACTTTCCATCCTCCTGCCTCAGCCTCCCAGAGTGCTGGATACCCGGTTCCCATCCACCTCTTGGAAATTCTTCCAGTTCAGGTTCCTTCACAGAGCCACCTTTTGAGGAGGAACTGGCTGAGTCCTGAAGCCAGTCACTCACTTTTTCAATAAACACTCTTAAGTCCCTCTTCTGCACACAGTTCACCCAGACACCAGATCCACTGCTCTGACCCACTTGGAGACGCGTCAGCCCACATGGGCACTGGTGCTGCCCCAGGACTCCACCCCACAGAGGGAGGGTTCAGTCCCCCATCTCTGCACTCAGGGGACCTGCCAGAGCCCTGAGGGTTCCCTCAGGCTTTTTGCTTAAAAGACCTGCAGGGACAGAGGCAGTGGAGGCTGAGGGAGAAAGAACTGAGGGGCAAGGATTCTTCCAAAGCCTCCCAGGAACTGGGCTTGGACTCGCTTAGCTCCACCTCTCCCTGGGAATGACTCCTGGGTGACAGGGATACACGTGCGCCTCAGGCTGGGGCCCCTTTGGGTGGTACTGTGGCTTCCCCCTTCCAGACCAGCAGTAACAAGACTTTCTGCTGGCAGTGACTTCTCTCTTGAGGGCCGCCCCAGGGCCCCCTGCTCCCACCACAGACCCTCCTCCTCTCTGCACTCCCTGTGGGCCAAGTAACCTCCGGAGCCAGAGGCAGCGTTCAGCACCCAGTGGGGCCAACACTAGTCCTCACCCTAGAGACCCGCCTGGCTCTGCTTTTGGCCCTCAGAGGCTCTGGCTTCCCCTAGGCAGGATACCTGCTCCTCACTGGGCTGTGGCCCCTGGGTGGACGGTCGCTGGGTGTGGGAGGCCCACTCTGCACAGGGAAGTCGGGGTTGGGGATGGTAAGGGGAGGCTCTGGGAGCTCCAGGCCACCTGAGGAGGAGGAAGTCCTTCCTACCTTTCTTCCTTCCCTTCCTCCCTGGGGGCAGGGTGCAAGAGAAACCAGGAACGAGGCCTGGCTGCATGGGGTGTGCACAGTCCTGCTGGGGCCCAGGACTCCAGCCCCTTCTGCCTGCTGCACCCTCTCGGCCTTGGAGCTCAGCCTTCCTAGTCCCATTTCAGGGTGAATGATTCCTGAGTGGGCTCAGCATGCCCAGTTGGCAGGGCAGCTAAGGAGCTTGCACTGTGCCAAGTTTCCCAGCCAGGCCTGGCCCCCAGGAGGCCCCACTGGTACTAGGACAGTGGGCCCTTGAGAAGGGCCATGGGAGCTGCAGGGTTCCCACCGAAGACAAAGAGCCCACTGTGGGCTCCAGCCTCCAGGCTCTGACCAGCTGCAGCTGCCTCCTTGGCAAGGGGTGGGGGTAGGGTGCTGGTGGGGGTCATGTTCTCTGGGCCAGAGATGCAGCAGGACACTCCCTGGCTGACTCCTGGTCCCTCACACAACAGCAGAATCCAAACACACCTACTCAACCTGCAAGATCATCCCTAGCTCTTCGGGGATGGCGTCTGGAGGCACTGAGTGGTGTAGCATTTGACATCTGCCATAAGCTTTCCTGAAATGCACCCTGGAACAAAACCAGGCTGTCCCAAATGCATGGTAATAGAGATATGTGCTTTTATAACAAGGAAGTGGGGCAGGCACCCAAGTCTGCACATGGTGTGTGTCCAGGCCAACTCCAAGGGGTTCAGGCGGTGAGACCTAAAGATCTTAGGAGACTGTCTAAAACAGAGAGAGATTCAGGCAAAGCCCGAGGTGGTTGCATTTGTGCTAAATATGTCCATGACTGGATGGAGCACGCTTTCCCTGAAAGTGTCAAAGACACAGGAAAGAGTCAGAAAGCTAAGTTTTTAAAAAATGAAGCCTTTTTTAAAATAATAAAAGACCAAAAATGAGAAGGAGGAGGCGGCAGAGAAGAATTATTTACACCCTGCTCCACACCATGTGGAGAGGGATGTGCTGCTATCCTCACCCCTGTGGTCCTTCCCAAGGTTCCCATCCCAGTGTTCCCACTTGTCATCTGTGGTCCTTAATCTTTCTGTGCCTCAGTTTCTTCACCTGAAGAGTGGGGTTGGTGATGCAAATATCAGTACCTACTTCAAAGGGTTTTGCCAAGGGTTAAACAAATTTTGAATTATAAAGCATTGAGAACAGTACCTGCCACTTAGCATGTGTTTTTTAAATAAAACCTTTGCTGCAGCACCATTTACGTTAGGCTGAACTCTATGAAACTGCCATTTCTGTCAGGCTAGCAAAGATTTACTAATTAGAATTGCTAAACACATTAAATGGCCATGCAGGGGGAAGTCGATTAATAAGTTATATCCCATTTACATCATGCAGAACCATAAAGCTGTTGGAAAGAATGGGGTGGATCTATATGTGAGCATGTGGAACAACCCGCAAGACAGGCAGGCAGACAGACAGACAGTCAAACACACACACGCACCCACATACACACACACACTCAGAGCAGCTAATAAGGGACTGGTCCTGGAGCAAGTTTTGATGCTCCCTAGCTTTGTGACCACAAACACATTAACTCTGCAAAGGCATTGCCTCCA